GGAAAGGCAATAGATTCAAGTTTCTTACCTAGGGCAGACACATTCTCATAGTTTTCTATCATGACCTCCATGTACAAAGTTCTTTGATTCTGATCCAGCAGGTTCCATTCTTCCTCTGTGAAATGCACAACAACATCCTCAAAGGTCATCTGCAACAGAAAACAGCCCCCATCCAGCCATCATCAGATGTAGAAGAAAACGGTGCATCCAGAGAAGGATTGGATTGCTTCAGGATAACTTTTCATTAACTACCTGCATCTTTAAATTCAGTAAATAACCTGGCTCCATGATAAACTTATCTTCTTATATCAAGGGAGGTTTTATTTAGCACATGGAAGCTGTTCCAGATAAGCCTCCCAATCATTGACAGTTGCGTTGAGTTATTTTGGTACATAAGACAGAGAAATACCACAAGACTTCATCCCATCCCTGGCAATAGAAGTACAAGAACAAAAAAATTAAAGTACTAGCAATTGCTGCTCTGCATGATGGCTCAAGACCACTTGTCTGAATCAGCATGAGTCCTTCCATCAAAGTCATGGCATCAATCCTGCCTAAAAGCTATGGATTTAATGTTAACACAGGTATGGGGCAAGCCCTGTCTGAGGGTCCCTGAAGGACCAGCATTGGGCAGGGAGCCCAGTCCCACCAACTCTGGTCCTAACTAGCTGGTAAAAAAGCAAGGGCAAGATGGCAGAAAGCATGTATCAACCCAGCAGGTGGGGAAATGACATCTGTCCATCAGTTTCATCCCAGCTTGGCAAGACCAATTTTCAATTGGGGAAGGAGTGGAAGTTAAAGTATACTGGGCTGGAATCCTTCTAATCTTGCTATCAAATGTTTGGGGTCTTCCATTGCAGAATCTTCCCAATGGCTCCATAGCAAAGAAGGAGAGGGTGAACGTTTACCTGTTCCAAAGACATCTTTCCTGCAGTTTCTTCCATGGAGGAAGAATTCAACACAGACTTTCCTCTTTCCATAAATCTGGAGACCAGGCAAGCCCGACCTGGACTTCTGAGCAGCTGAAGAAAATACAAATGGAGGTGGTTAATATGTGCATAAATTGATATGGTCTTCCATGAATCACCAAAAAGACAAATGAATGGCTCTCAGACTAAATCAAGGCTGACTTCTCCCTAGAAGACACAATGACTAAGTCAAGGCTATTGTATTTTGGACACATTGTGAGAGGACATGACTCAGTGGAAAAAGACGATAATAGTATGTATAGCATCAAAGGTAGAAGGAAAAGAGGGAGATCCCAACACAGATGGATTGACTCCACCAAGGAAGCCAAAGTGTTGAGCTTGCAAGATCTAAGAAGGTCCAACAGGGTCCCTTTGAGGCCTTTCATTCATAGGTGGGTCAGGGAAGAATTTATACTAAGAATATCAAAGAATCTAAGCATTTATATTCTACAGGAATTTATATCGTATAATAAAAAAGATTCCACCTAAACATTAGGAAGGTGGCAGGAGTTCAACACACTCCCTTGGAGAGCAGTGAAGTCTCCTTCTTTGGAGGTCTTTAAACAGAGGCTGGATGGTCATCTGACGGGGGTGCTTTGATTGTGGGTTCCTGCATGGCAGGCGGTTGGACTAGATGGCCCTTGGGCGTCTCTTCCAACTCTATGATTCTATATCCAATCTCCCCACCAATACACATTTCAATATTTGGTTTTACAGAATCTCTCTAGAGACTTTCCTCTAAAGCATTTGGCTCCTGTGCTCAGAAAGATGTGCCATACATACACACACACATACATACATACATTGTTTTAGTACTGCCTTCCTGTGAGGCTGAGAATGTGTGACCTTTCATTTAGCAGGTTTCCAGAACCAACTTGGGCTAGATTTTTCGCCTCCCCCTCCCCCAGTTCTCCCCATAACCTTTGCACATCTGGAGGAAAGATATCAGGAAAGATGTCCATCAATACCGTGATCACTAACAGTCAGTATGGGTTTCTCACCAACAAGTCATGCCAGATTTATCCTGTGGCAGTTGGGTGGATTTGTACTTGGTTGACCTGTCGAACCCAAAGGATGCTCAGCAATGGCTCCCCTTCATCCTCTCGAGAAGTGACCAGTGGGGTGCCATGGGGCATTGTCCTGGGACCAGTGCTATCCAACATCTTTATCAATGACTTGGATGACAGTATTGGGAGCATAGTTATCAAATCTGCAGATGATACCAAATTGGGAGACGTAGCCAAGACCCCAGAAGACAGGATCAAGATGGTACCATTGAGGACCATATGGGTTTTCTAAAGGAGGGCCAGGAAAGAAAAGAAAATCCAGAAGAGGGTATGGGTGCCCCCGTCAGAAAAACACCTTTGGACTATAATTCCCATAATGTCCCAGACAGCATGACCAGCAAACACAGTGCACAGGGGGGATACATATGTACTTTTGCAAGGCAAGGGAACAACAACTGCTGGGGCATGGATCTCAAGTCCCATTAAATACAATGGCATCATAAAATGAGCTCCCTTATATAAAACAGCAAAACAGAAGCTTGCTTTTTGGAATGTATATATTTTAAAAACGTTTTAAAGCTGTGGATGCTTGAATCTGTGGATAAAAATATCCATGGGTATGGAGTGCTGACTGTATGTACTTTTATGTGGGGAGAGAATAACAACTCCTAGAGCTGGCCAGTGGTTGTTTGTGTTGGCTAAAGCAGTCTTTATTTTTATTATGTTCTGTCCACTTTCTGTCTCTCTCTCTCTCTTCATGGCACCCAGCGTGGCTTAGCATATGAATTAAAACTGAATGCAGTTGTTGATTTATTTGTTGTTGTTGTTGTTGTATTGTTGTATTGTTTCTTCCAACCCTCAAACCATGCTGACACTCAAGATTTCTTTACAGAAGTTTTAGTACTGCCTTCCTGTGAGGCTGAGAATGTGTGACCTTTCATTTAGCAGGTTTCCAGAACCAACTGGGGATTTAAACCCTGGCCTCTTGGAGACCCATTACAACACTCAAACCATGCTGACACTCATGATTTCTTCAGAGAGCTTTTCCTCTGAAGCTGAGAGTGTGTGACCTGTCATTTAGCAGGTTTCCCTGGCCAGGTGGGGATTCGAATCCTGCTCTCCAGAGTCCTATCCAACACTCAAACCACTACATCACACTGGGTCATTATTGATTTATAGCCAGTTAAAAAACAAAGCATGCCACAACTGGAAGACCTTCTTCAATAGCCACTTAAATCTTTATTCTACTTATTTATTTTTATTTATTTATGTATTCATTTATTTACGTATTTATATAGTAAGCTGCTTTGTATCACACACTGAGAGAAAGGCTGTATACAAATTAAATAATATATATGAATGTAATAATATACATATATATATATATACATAATATATATTATACAGCATTCTATATATCATACAGCATTCTATATATCATATATATGTGTGTGTGTGTGTGTATATAGAATTACACACACACAAAATATGTATATAAATTTTAATTTGTAATCTTCCTTTTTCTCAATATCTGATACCAGGCGGCTTTCCAATTCAAGTTAAAGCAGAACACAGTTAAAACGAGACAAATTACAAAGGTTAAAAGACAATTAAACAAACAAGTATCTGTGGCCTAGCCGTTTGAGCGTTGCACTATGACTCTGGGAGACCAGGGTTCGAATCCCCACTGATCCGTGAAACCTAGTGGCTCATCTCAGGCATGTCACACTCTCTCAGCCTCAGAGGAAGGCAATGGCAGACCCCTCTTGCCAAGAAAGCCCCAAGCTAGGGTGGCCTTAGGGTTGCCGTTAAGTCCGAAATGACTTGGGGGGCACGCAACAATATTAAAAATATTAACCCGCAACCACTGAAAAAGCAGCTAAAACAGAATGAATCACTATTAAAAAGAGTATGAGTGTGTGTGCACCCCATTCTGGTGCCTTTGTTGCTTTTTGGAGCCAGCCAGGTGGTGTCCATCCTTCCCCCAAAGACCAGGAGAGTCAACCCAAGGCCCATGGCTACCAGTACTGCCCCTCTGGGGTATTGCTGGACTACAATCCCCCAAATCCCTCACTCTCAAGAGCACAAGGGAAGGCCCTCTGGGGCTTGCAGTCCAACACCTGCAACATCTGGATGGATGCAGGCTTCCCACTGTGGCTGTTGGTCAGCGGAGAGGATGAACCAACATCATGCAGCCCTTGTGCCCAGGTGGGACTGCAGGGCCTATCATTCCTTGCCCCAGGGGCTGTTGGGAGCTAGTCCTAGAAGCCCTTGAAGGCCAGTGGCTCTGGCATTTTGGGGTTGGCCTTGAGGCACAACTTCTGGACTCCTGGGCAGAGAAGGGAGCTGGCTGCCATTCCCTTTGGGCTGAAGCCCTACATTCATTCACTCATTTGGGAGAGTCATAGTTTAGCCCAAGTACACACCCCAGAACAGGGGGAATGGGATCTTCCTCCTCCTTTTTTTCCTTCCAAGGACGGCTCCCCAAAGGAAGCCAGGAGCCTGTGACCAAAGCCCTGGCTCTCAGAGCAACCCCTGGGCCCAGGTGGCTAGCTGGGGGATGATGGGAGCTATATGGTCCAAGAAAAGAACCCTACTCTCTCCTTCAGAAAGTACTAAAACAAAAGACAGTACTTGCCCATAGGGAAGCCATACTTGCCCATAGAGAATCATTGGCGAATGCTTGCCCATAGAGAATTACAGGGAAATACTAGTATTCCCCAATGATTCCCTATGGGCAAGTATGGCTTCCCTATGGGCAAGTAATATCATTTGTTTCAGTACGTCTCCTCTCCTCCTGCATCTTGGAAACAAAAATCCTCCCCCAAAAGTTGGGGAGGATGCTGACCTCTTCCTTAAAGGACTTTTCCTGGGACCAAAAGGAAGCCCCTGCAAAAAAAAGTCCCTTTGGCCCAGAGGAGCTAAGAGAGGCACTGGGTCCCTTCTGCACTCAACAGCAGCATTTTTGCAAGCTAAAGAAAGGGCTTTCCTGCAGGGAAGGCAGGGGGACCCCATGTCCTCACCCCAAAAGAGGAGGAGGAGGAGGCACCACCAAAAACATGGAGGACCTTCAAGGAAAAAAATGGAGGACCTGGCCAAAGACAAGCTGCAAGTCCTGCTGGAACAACTCCTCCTGTCAACCCATGCTTCTTCGCTATGCTCCTAATGCGAGGACATTGGGGGATTCCTCTTGGCCAGGAAGGCTGGAATGGAGGACAGGTCCTGGAAAAGGAGGACACCATGCATTTCAGTGCAAAAAAAAAAAAAAAAAGGGAGGAGAAACACCCTTCTAGTGCAAAGAGGAGAAGAGAGTCATAGAATCATAGAGTTGGAAAAGACCACAAGGGCCATCCAGTCCAACCCCATTCTGCCATGCAGGAACTCTCAATCAAATCAAAGTCACTCACCTGAACTCAGGCTCCCCAAGAAGGAGGCCAAGCCCACTCTGAATGGGGGCCCCTTTCTCTCTCTGCACCCCAAAAGAAATGGGATGGGGGCCTTGGGCCAATGAGGGGTCATCAGTTTCTAGGCAGGGTCCACCCCCCCAAAAAAGAAAGAGAAATCCTCCCCATCTCCTTCCTCCCTTGTCATGCAAAAGGGGCTTTAATGGGGGCCATTAAGAGCAACAAAACAATGGCCAACAGATTGGAAGCCATCAATATTCATCCATATCCACAGAAAAGGACAATAGCACCCAAAATCCACCAAACAATGCTACTTTCATTGGGCCAACCCAAATGCACAAACAAAAGATGCACCCAACAGTGATATCTTTATTGGACCAACTCAAATGCACAATATATTTCTTCCAACCAAGGTAAAACCATTTTTTTCCTTCTTAAATTTGAACCAGATTGGCATGCTTGACCTCAGCACCGACCACAATGTTCCTGATGCAAAAACATGAAGACTCCTTGAGGAATCCATCGTCCTCTGTCTACAAAGAGGCCTGGGACCTCATAGGAATGGAGGCATGTTGGATTGCAAGGGAGGGGTCCTTGGTGAGATGCAAAGGGACTTTAAAATTTCCTGCAAAAGTCCATCAGTGATAACCTTTATTGGCCAACCAAAATGCACAATATACTTGTTGCAAGCTTCATAAGCTTGCAACAAGTATATTGTGCATTTTGGTTGGCCAATAAAGGTATCACTGATGGACTTTTGTTTGAATTTGCTAAATGGCCAACACAGTTGCCCCTGAATGTCATCTTAACTAAGGACAGAAACATAGGTAGATAGGCAGGAAATGTTGCAGGGGGAAGGAGAGGAGTGATGCACCTTCTGATCTCACTTCCGGAGGGGAGAGAGGTGGAACCTTCTGGATTTCCTTGGAGGGAAAGAGGAAGGAGTTTGGAGAGAAGGAAGGTAATAATGGGAGACCCCCAAACTCACTTCTTCCATGGTGTGGATGTGGGGGGCACTTACTTGGGTGGAAAAAAAGGAAATCCCCCCCCCAAACCTTTCCATCTGGGAGGCTTCCTCCTCTTCCTCTCTTGGGGGTATCAATGGGGCTGAAATATTGGGAGCCCAAGGAAGTAAGAGCATCAGTTGTTGGGGGTTCTTTGGCTCTGGGCACAGTTTGAGGGGCTTTCCTGGGGGACATGGAGGGATGGGGGCTTTTTAATTGTAAGCCGCTTAGA